TGGGGGAGCGGTTTGAGGGTGTAGTTTGCGAGTGTGTGGTTTGTGTGTGTGTGTGTGTGTGTGTGTGTGTGTGTGTGTGTGTGCGTGCGCGCGCACGCGTGTGTATGTGTGTGGAGGGTGGGGGTATGAGTGTGTGTGCTTTTTTATATTACATGCATTCTGTTTTCTTCACATCAAACAATAACCCTTTACTTTGACTTTTCATAACAACAATGTCTAGAAGCCATTGAAGGTATTTTTTTGAATGTGCTATTAAAACTGTCATCGGAATATCTGGAGCTATTGAGATTTTCGCTTTTCGCTTTGAGATCTGGACATTCTTCCATACTTCTAAGGATTGTTTCTCTGTACAAATATGTTAAAGAAATCTCACTTCTTTTTTAATTTGCTTATATTAGCTGTATTCTCCATCAATTCTTACAACAGCGTTTTGACCGTACACATTTTAAATAATGCTTAGATCTTTTCCGTCTATATCCAGCTCTTCTAATATTTTAAATAACTGATCACATCTAACTTTATCGAAAGCCTTTGGATTATCTATGAAGCATGAATACAGATATTTCTAGACTTCAATACTTCTTTCCATTAACATTGCTAAGGTGAATATAACATTTTTGGTGCTCTTGTCAGAAACAAAGTCGAATTTCTCCGCCTGGTGGGAAATTTTTATTGAATTTCTTTTTGCTTGGCTCAATACCTTTTATGTCCAGTTAAAAACAAGTTTCTCTGTTGATTCTGCTCAACTGTTTTGCTCAAAGGCACCAAAACATAAATTTTGCAGTTTCTAATGACAGACAAGCTTTGGAATTCATTAAACTTTGGCGGCAATTTCTTTCGCTGATTTTACCCAAGGCACCAAAAAACTCCCACCCAGGGGGCTCTCGTGGTCTAGAGATTAAGGTGTTCGCCTCTCATTCAATAGGCCCAGGGTTCGAATCAGGATAGCGACGGAAAATTATATTCTGTAAAATGTTCTCCTGTCACATCATTTCCTGCTCGCTAACGATGTTCTTCCGTCTGCTTTCGTCTCCACTTTCTGTCACCTCCTTTGCCCCCTCCTCTGGGCTCCGGACTCTTTCTACATCCTTTCTACTGCTACTCCTTGGATATTTCTTACTTCTGCCTTTCAGCCACACCCCTGATCTTATGGGAGTAAAGATCTACACCTTGTCTTCTCGGATAGGGCCAAAAATCTCGCAAGTTGCACACGTCAAAAATCTCTTGATGGTACAAAATTGATAAGAATAGGATTCGGCCGCCACCCGAGCAAAGTTCAGTCCCACGCGCTCAAATAACCTTTTGCAGTTGCGAGCGCAGAAAAACACTTACAAGAAATATATTAATAAAGACTCCCACCTCTTTCGATTCATATAAAAGACAGTAGGGTATTTTTTCATCAACAACATGACAAATGCACGCACTTTAAGATGATACCAATAACACTTTCTATGCCCACCCCCCAAAAAACCCAAAACAAAACAAACAAAAAACCCAACCTTCAAACAAACAGAACCCCCCCCCAAAAAAAACAAAAACAAAAAAAAAAACAACACAAAAAAACAAGACCCCCCTCCCCCCCCCGACAAGTCGTTGATTTCTCCGGGACGTGACACACATACACAAAGCGCAAAACATCCCCCAAATACCTGATATGATGCCTTCAAAATGCTGTGTAATACTGCCGTTTTCCACCTTCGTCCCGCCGATTCGCACGAAAGCTTGGTTGTTGAAAGTGTGGGCTTGTTTGCCTGATGCAGAGACAAGAGGTTATGTCAGTGAAAAAGACAAGAGATTATACCAGTGAGACTGACGGGAATTTGTGTCAGTCAGAAGTGACTTCTTCTCTCAATAAATCAATAAATGCCAATATTTCGTCTGTTCCATTATTCTGCAAACTCTACTCTTTAGATATAACATTCAAAAACATGTTCGTAACTAGGAATATTAAGTCGCTCCTATTCAAGCAAGATCATGGCTAGCCGAGAAAGAGGCGTGGTCTGGGAAAGAAGAAAACCAAAGAACGAGGAGGTTACAGTGTGAGTAGAACAAGGCGCTGATCAAAAGAAGCAGCTTGTGACATGCACTTGTTAATGTGAGTTAATGAGATAATCATAATACTATCGTCGGTGAAGACGGTGAGTAAATGAAAGGATGGGGGTACTTGGTGGACAGAGGGAGAAGGGGAATAAAAGGCTTGAAGTGGTAGAGATGAGAGATGAGGGAGTGATGCGGTATAAAGAGAAAAAACAATGGTATATTAGGTGTTGTTAAAAAAAAAAAAGACGGGCAAGAGGAGGAGGAGGAGGAGGAAGAGGAGGAGGAG